TCTTGGATTTTGTTTTATTTACTTTCATTTACCATATGAAATACATTACAGCATTATATTTGACACTCATTTTTTCTAGTGGCTTTATTGAAATATTGTTCATATACCAATTTACCCATTTAAATTGTACTAACTCTATGGCTTTTAGCATATATTCACAGAGTTATAAAACCATCACCATAATTAATTTTTAAACACTTTCATCACTCCAAAAAGAAACTTCATACCCTTAAGCTATTCTCCGTTAATCTTTCATCCCCCTCCCCTGGGCCTAGGCAACTATTAATCTACTTTCTGCCTCTGTAGATTTGACTGTTCTGGATATTTCATGTAAGTGGAATTATGCAGTATGTCATCCTTTAAGACTGGCTTCTTTCAGTTGGTTTATGTTTTTAAGGTCTATCATGTAGCATGTATCAATACTTCATTTATTCTTAGTGCCATATAATATTCTGTTTTATGTATATAAATTTCAATTTATTTCTCCATTCATCAGTAAACAGACATTTTGGATTTGTGTTTTTGGCTAGTATGAATAATGCTGCTATGAACATTTGTGTGCAAGTTATTCTGTGGACTTACATTTTCAATGCTCTTGAGTATGTGTACCCACGAATGGGATCTCTGGGTCATCTAGTAACTCTGTGTTTAGCTTTTTGAGGACCTGCTTAATTGTTTTCCAAAGTGGCTGCACCATTTCACATTCCCACCAGCAGTGTATAAAGGTTCCAATTTTTCCACATTTTCACCAACTCTTGTATTATCCATCTTTTTTATTACAGTTGTCCTAGTGGTTGTAAAATGATATCTCACTGTGATTTTGATAAGCGTTAGTCATCACAGACTAGCAATGATGAGTATATTTTCATGTGTGTAATTACTGGTTGGCCATTTTTATATATCTTCTTTGGAGAAGTCTATTCAAATCCCTTGACAATTTTTTTTAAATGAAGTATCCTTGATACACACCAACTTAACCCCTCCTCATGGTAACCACCAGTCACTTCTCAGTGTCTGTGAGCTGTTGACCATTTTTTAACTGGGTTATTTGTCTTTTTATTGTTGAGTTGTAATGGTTTGTTATAGATTCTGGAAACTAGTCCATTATAAGATATGATTTGCAAATATTTTCCCCCATTCTTTGGGTTGTCTTTTCACTTTTTTGATGCTGTTCTTTGAAGAACAAGTTTAAATTTTAAGTTCTGTTTATTTTTTTTCCTTTGGCTGCTTGTGCTTTTGGTGTCATATCTCAGAAACCATTGCCTAATATAAGGTGATGAAGATATACTTACACATTCTTCTAAGCATTTCATAGTTTTAGCTCTTAATATAGGTCTTTGATGCATTTTCAGTTAATTGTTGTGTATGGGCTGAGGCAGGAGTCCAGCTTTTTTCTTTTGTATGTGTATGTCCAATTGTTTCAGCACCATTTGTTGAAAAAGCTATTCTTCACCTCATTAAATAGTGTTGGCACCTTGTTGGAAATGAATTAACTGTAATGTGCAGGTTTATTTCTGGACTTTAAATTCCATTTCATTGATCTGTGTATCTGTACTCAGGTCAGTACCACACTGTCTTGATAATTATTGTTTTTTCAGTAAGTTTGGGAATCAGGATGTCTGGGTCCTCTCCCTTTGTTCTTTTCTAAATTTGTTTGGCTTTCCTGGGTCCCTTAAATTTCCAAATGAATTTTAGAATCAGCTTGTCAATTTCTGCAAAGAAACCAGCTGGGATTTTGATAGGCATTGTGTTGAAATTGTAGATTATCTGGAAATATTGCTATTTTAATATTAAGATATAAATGTTAACTTTCTAATCCACATACAAAAAATCTCTTTCCATGTATTTAGATCTTTAATTTCTTTCAACAGTTTTCTGCTTTTTAGTACTTGTTTTGTTACATTTATCCCCAAGTATTGTATTCTTTTGATGCTAGTATAAGTGGAATTAATTTTGTTAAATTTTCAGTTCATTGCTACTGTATAGAAATAGAATTTATTTTTATATATTGACCTTGTATCTTAACCTTGCTGAACTTATTTATTAGTTCTAATCACAAATAGACAGTTTTTCTTCTTCCTTTCCAATCTGGATAATTGACATTCATTGTTGATGATAAGTCTACTGAGAGCCTATTTGCCATTCTTCTTTAGATAACCAATTTTTTCCTCTCCTGACTTCTCAGATTTTCTCTGTATTCTTAGTGTTCTGCAGTTTTACCACAATACATCTAGATAATTATTTTTTTAGCATGGTGGTGTGTACTTTTTATTACTATTTTTTTAAATTGAAAATAACTATTTTTTCTTGATTTTATAAAAATACATTCACATTCCAATAATGTTAAAAGCATAAGAAGTAATATAAATCACATGATAGCATGTACCCAAGAGGTAATCACNAGTGATGCGATGAGATAGATGCTGCTATTTCTCTAGTTCACAAATGAGGAAACAAGCACAGAGAGGCTAAGCAGATTGTCCCAATAAATAACTGAGCCAGGACTTAAAACTTAAATGGCTCTGAAGCTTTTATTCTTAAAATAGTATGTTATATTGCATATCCAACTTAGAGTCTTAATATTATAATATTGTTAATTATAAAGAAAATTGTTTATATTTACCCCTGACATGTGTTTTATCCAAATGAAAACGTTTGGATTTCTAGTATATGAAAAAATTTTTAAAGTCCTTCAGAGTCTCCCCACTGTGAGATTTTCTGTAGCTTTTCTGTTGTGGTTTGTATCAAGTCCATGATTTTATCGTGCTTGTGGTTCTTTTATAACGTGTTCTTTTTTTTTATTGAACCATCATTAATATAAAATGTTCGATTGGTTTCCAGTATACAACACAGTGGTTCCACAGTTACCCATTATTAAATCCTCACCTCCACCTGTGCAGTTACTACCTGTCAACACAGGAAGATATTACAGAATCACTGACTATATTCTCCATGCTGTACTCCCATACCAGTGACCACCTTACATTATGTTTGAGAATTTTTGTGACCCTTTGCCCCCCTCACCCTTCCTACCCACCAACCCTATGCCCCCCCATGGTAACCACCAGTGACTTCTCAATGTCTATGAGTCTACTACTATTTTGTTCATTTTGTTTTGTTTCATTTTTATATTCCACAAATAAGTGAAATCATACAGTATTTGTCTTTCTCTCCCTGGCTTATTTCACTTAGCATAACACTCTGGGTCCATCCATGTTGTTGCAAATGGAAGGATTTCTTTCTTTCTTTTTTTTTTACTATTCCATTGTGCATATGTACCACATATTTATCCATTCATCTACTGATGGACACTTTGGTTGCCTCTATAACTTGGCTGTTGTAAATAGTGCTGCGATAAACGGAGGGATGCATATATCTTTTTGAATCAGGGGTTTTGTTTTCTTCAGATAAATTCCTAGGAGTGGAATTACTGGGTCAAATGGTATTTCTGTTTTCAGTTTTTTGAGGAACCTCCATACTGTTTTCCACAGTGTACCAATTGACATTCCCACGAACAGTGTAGGAGGGTTCTCTTTTCTCCCACTCCTCACCAACACTTGTTATTTCTTGTCTTTTGGGTAGTGGTGTGAGGTGATACCTCATCATGGTTTTGATTTGCATTTCCCTAATGCTTAAGGATGTGGAGCACCTTTTCATGTGCCTGTTGGCCATCTGTATTTCGTCTTTGGAGAAATGTCTGTTCAGGTCCCCTGCCCATTTTTTAATGAGGTTATTTGTTGTTTAGATGTTTTGGCATATGCATTCTTTATGTACTTTGGATGTTCATCCCTTATCAGATAAATTATTCAGGAATATATTCTCCCATACTGTAGGTTGCCTTTTTGTTCTGTTGATGGTGTCCTTTGCTGTTCAGAAGCTTTTTAGTTTGAATCAGTCCCACTTGTTCATTTTTTACTCTGTTTCTCTTGCCTAAGTAGATGAGCCCAGGAAAAATCTATTCATACTTTATGTTTAAGAGGTTTTTACCTATGTTTTCTTCATAGAGTTTTATGATTTCATGACGTCCGTTCAGGTCTTTGATCCATTTCGAGGTTACTTTTGTGTATGGAGTTAGACAATAATCCAGTTTCTTTCTCTTATATGTAGCTGTCCAGTTTTGCCAACACCAGTTATTGAAGAGGCTGTCATTTCCCCTTGTATATCTACGGCTCCTTCATCATATATGAATAACATATGCTTGGGTTCATATCTGGGCTCTCTGTTCTGTTCCACTGATCTGTGGGTCTGTTCTTGTGCCAGTACCAAATTGTCTTGATGACTGTGGCTTTGTAGCAGAGCCAGAAGTCAGGGAGCTTAATCCCCCCAGCTTTATTCTTCCTTCTCAGGATTGCTTTGGCTATTTGGGGTCTTTAGTGGTTTCTTATGAATTTTAGAACTATTTGCTCTAGTTTATTGAAGAATACCGTTGGTGTTTTGATAGGGATTACATTGAAGCTTTATTAGAACACATCCATGTCCATTCATTTACTTATTGTCAATCTTCTTTACATTACAATTGCAGAATTGAATTGTTGTGACAGATTGTAAGGCCCCAGAACCTAAAATATTTTCTGTATTAACCTTTATAGGAAAAATGTGTTGATCCCTGCTCTTGGTTGATTCAAGATTTAAAGCATACTTACTGTCCTAAAATGTGGAATTTCAGACATTAAATCCTTAGCTGTGAAATTGTATGCCTCCTGTTATGCCAAAGTTTTATTTTACTACTGGGCTACTAGGCATTATAGAAATAGCTAAAACTGCCATTTTAAGGTAAAGTTGAGCATCCGTGACCTCAGAAATTAGGTCTTAGAAAAAGCCTTGATCCAAAGAATTGAAATTCCAGAATGTTGTGTTTGTCTTTCAACTTAAGATTAATTTTTTTTTAAGTCCCTGCCTGCACTAATTGAACAAGGAAATGGATTTTCCCGAGTTTTAAAGATGCAGCCTATTATCCAGCTCCAAAGAGTGTACCAAGAACTCTTTTCTGGTTGTTATAGGAAACCAGATGTCAAACCGGAGAGCTTTATAACACAAATATAAACTACACCCACAGAGACTTCCACCAGGAATACTGCTGACCTGGTAGTGAAAAGAAAGGAAGCCAAAGAGTGTCCCCAGAGAAAATGGTATCCATTGTGGCCAAAGAGAATTAATCTTGATACATAAGCTTTTTTTTTCTTTATGTTGGGAATTGCAATTAGGCACTATCAACATTGAAATTACACCTCAGTGCCTAGGCAGGACTTCATTTAAAACAATAAGTAACTCTTTAGTGATTCCTTACAGAAATATGAGTAGCTCTATGCTGGGATATGATGTAATATTCTTGTATTTCTTACATCTGTTGGTGATGAAAAGTGTATTTTAAAAACGTTGGCACAAAGCCCATCAATGCACATTAAGACTGCAAACTTTTACTGTCCTTAAATGCCATCACCTCTTACCTGCCTCCTAGCTTTTATGGAATTTCATGAGTCATGTATTCTGTTGTGTTTTCGGGATATATGTCTTTCTTAGAAAAAACACTGTGTAATAGTTGTCTTTATTTAAGTGCTGAAAGTAAACATCCATTCTGCCCAGAGCAGATGCAGTTGTTTTTTGTTTTTGTTTTTGTTGCAGTTTGACTTATCAGATTAATGTGCAGATGACAAAACTGGCTTCAGCTTTGTTACTCCAAGTTCAGCTAATATGGATTTGAGGGATTAGTTTTAGGAATTTTTTTGGTTTGGTTTTGCTTTGTAAGACAAGCCTATTATTTGTGAGAGACTTTAACTTAGAAATAAAAAAAAATTGGCATGTAGCTAATGGTTCTTGCTCACATTTTGGTTTTCAATAGGCCTTTTAACTTTTAAACATAATTTGATAGTCTGTTTTCAGGATTTCTCATTATTTCTTTGTAGATGATTCCAGTTCACAACTATACATTAGATTAACACATTAACAAATTGTCATTGTGGAACAAAGATAGATGCAATCATACTGAACTGTTTTACATTTAAGGATGTTTACATATCAAGGATATAGCAATCATTGGTAGAAGTCTCAGGAAGTTGTATTGCTTTTACTTATAACATTTAACTACAGTTTCTTACAGCTCTTATTGTATCCCTTACTCACACTAATACAATGTAAGCAGGGGCAACTGTTTCCCCTTTTGATGACTGTATACCTTTTTTGCAGAGGAATTTAAGGTTGGATAATTACTTGCTCATTATGTCTTAATAATTATAAATGTCTAAATGTGGCATAAAGTCTCTGAAGAAAACTTAGCTGTGAAATTTAGTGCATTCTGTATTTGAATGTTATAATTTGAGATTTGTATATTTGTACACAACACTGTTTTTCATTAAAATCATGTACAAAGACTGAAATCTTAATACTATGTATTTCTAAGAGCTGTCTTAGGCATTCTTTTCTTTTTATTTTTATTTTGGTATCACTAATGTACAATTACTTGAACAACATTATGGTTACTAGACTCCCCCTATTATCAAGTCTCCCCCACATACCCCATTACAGTCACTGTCCATCAGCGTAGTAAGATGCTGTAGAATCATTACTTGTCTTCTTGTCTTAGGCATTCTTGAATTCAGATGTAGTTGGATGGTAGGTCAGTACCCTGTATTTCAGAACATACTAAATTTCACGTAAAAACTGGTTGAGGCTGCAGAACATTGCAATTCTAATACAGAGCTAACTTTTTCATAGTATAAAATTCATTGTGAGTTTTTTCACTTCAGAAACCTAAAACCAAAAGAATTAATGTTAACTCTCCTAAATTAGATAACTTTATTGTGATTATATAAGAAAATGTCTTCCTTTATTGAGAGAGACATATTGAGGTACAGAGTTTAATGACGTGATGTCTTGAATTTGCTCTGAAATATGTTAGCAAAGAAAAAGGAATGGATTAAGCAAATGTGACAAAAATGTTGGATCTTTGTGATGGATATATTCTTTCTACTCTTACGTTTGGAAAATTTAATCGTTAAAAATAATTTTTTTAATCAAAGTATAGTTGGCATACTATATTACATTAGTTTCAGGTGAGAAACTTGATTTATTTCTAAAAACCCTGAGATAGATAGCTAAAACTTAAAATCCCTTGGAGACCCTAAAGTTTCATTACACAGTTACAGCAGAGTTCCAAATTAAGATATCACTGGGAAAGACAACATACTAGCATTATTAATTAAGATAAACTAGTTGTCTTGCTAAGATAATGAAAAGTAAGAAAGCCTATAGTTGTAGTGAATGTTGAAGGGAAAAATAGAAAATCAAATGTTGACCTCTCTGTGGTTAACAGAAGGTTAGATTGGATGGAGTCTTAAAATTTCCTTAAAAAAAAAAACAGCTAAAAAACAAAACAAAAAGGTAAAATCTAGTTCTAAGGCAGAGAGAACACTGGTTTCTGAAATCAGTGAAGGAAAATAGCCTGAGTTCCTCAAAATATACTACCTGAACTAGGGCCCTGCCGGTGGGCAATGGATCCCTAAAGCAGGTTAGACAGGGACTCTAGGTGTAGTCAGAGTAGGGTGAGGGTCTCTGGAAAAAGCAAGCAGGATAATTACAGTCAGAGCAATATAACAATCTGCAAAGAAGTCCCTATCGAAACTCTGTGTTAAGCATTATGCAAAGTCAAGGTCACACTAATTCTCTAGGGTAAAGATACCAGACTACGAATATAGACATCTTCAGTGAGATCTGTTAAAGCTCAAAAGACCAGAAGCAACTTGGCTTGGAATGTTTAAGTGTTCCACAAGTAAAGAAGGGTATCTCATCACAACCCGTGACTTCACTCTAAACAGCCCTAGCAAACAGACAGCAACCAAGCCCACCTTGGGGCAGGGCAGGTAGTACAAGTCCAC